GATCCAACCATTAGACTTCATGTATCGTTCTTAACCCACTGCCTAACCTGGTATTTTTCTCTTCCAGAAAGGCTATTGTCCCTCAGGACTGTGCCCTCTTCAAAAAGCAAATAGCACAGACTACTAAAAATAATAATAATAATAACAATAGTCAGGGAATTGAACCAATCATTGTTCTGTGTAGCAGCACTCCTCCCATACCCACCCCAATGGCAGATTGCTCAAATGCTGGGCCATGTATCAGTACCTTTTTCAGCAGGCCCCTGCCATCTGGCCTGGGAATGCTTTCAGCAGAGGACAAAGCCTTTTCACATTTATAGATGAAGCTGTAAGAGGAAAGAGTCATAGGAGAAGCAACCACTGACGTTCCTTTTCTGTCACTTGCCCAAATCTTTCTAGCTCAAAAACTCAGCAGCATCCTCTACTCCCTCTCTCTTCACATCCAGACACCAAGTCCTGCCAGTTTTTTCTTTAATGTATTTTTCATAGACTTACTTGTTTTTTATTCCTTCTGCCAGCCTCCCAAATCCAGACCTCTCTTGCTTCACATCTGCCTCATTGAAATCACCTCCAAACAAACACTTAGAAGTGGTCTTTCATTATTAGTTGTCCCTACTGGCTAAAATTATAGTTCCAGCTTTTTAATCTGGTGTTGAAGTGTCTCCACATATGATCTCTGTCCTTACCACTTTTCCTGTCCTTACCATTGCTATGTGAATCTCCTGTTTTTGCTAAAATGATCTAATTGACATTTCTAAAAGGATCTGCTAGCTCAAATTTAAATGGTATATTGTGTGTGAAAATCACTTGGCAAACTTGCAAACATTATATAAGTATGAATTATTTTTGTCTTGTACCTACCCCTGGTAACCTTGTTGTAACCCTTTGATGGCTAATGATTCTCTCCTCACTCTTATGCTCTGCCTCTTACTCTGCTCTACACATTCTTCCCTTTACGTAGTTACCCACCTCCCATTCCTTTGGCTTTAGACCCACCTTTTTTTTTGTATCTTCCCAAACCCTTCAACTTGACACAACACATGAGCGGTTTTGAATTTGCATCTTTCTCTCCATAAACAACCACCTCCATAAGCAATCCAGGCTAGTAATCAATATCCAACACTTACACAGAAATTGCCTCTTGGGCCCCCTCTTGGCAGAAAAAGAAATAAGGCTGTCTTTTGTCAACTCACAAAGAATGTCTGCCTTTTCATCCCAACTCCACTACCCAGGGCGCAATCCTTGATGCTCTATCCTGCATTCTCTACCCTTTCTTCCCTATCTACCCCCAGCCCACAGTGATCTTTGTCCCCCGCATACTCACAGAGCCAAACTCCTGTGACTTGTCCTGTTTATTTGCCACTCTGATTTTGCCATAAGCACTTCATAGTTTATCCCTATATAACCAAATAGCTTGAACACTCCTTCAAGATAATAGCATCTTGTATCTTGTATTAATTTATAGTCTCATATTTCAACATTATCAAATATTGGCTGACATGTGATCACTGATAATGAGGTAATAGGGTTTGTTAATCACACTGGAAGTGACTGATACCAATTCCCTCTCTGAGTTGAGGGGTTGATGAAGGCCACAGGAAAGCCTGTAGAAAATAGACAGCCCTGTTGAAAGGACCAAGAAGGAATATACCCAGAATCCAAGAGACTCATGTGCCAACTTCAGCATTTTACTCAATGTCAGGGATACATTATAACATTTTCCAAATGGGAAACTTCAGAGAGTTCTTGTCTGTCAGTGCCTCTGATTTCACTTTTCATTATTGGGTTAATCCCTGAACCAGGCTTCATGAAGCTTCAGAGTGCTCTCTTCGGTGGCCATAATAGCCCTGATTTCTGGGGATTTGCCTAGGCTCACCTTGCATGACAGCCATCATTGTCACACCAGAAAGCCATAAAATTAGCTTCTATAACAATAGAAATAAGAGGTATTTCTGATGTTTCCAGCAGGGGGGAAAAGAGCACAAGAATTAATTTTAACATAGCAATAAGTCTTACATACAGAACACCTCTACCAAAAGACATGCAGCCAGAAAAGAGAAAAAGAAAATGCCCCTCTACTTTTGACTGAGTAACAAATCCCAAAGTGACAAGCTGCTTCTTTTGAAATCAGGGAAGGCCATTTTCTTCCAGCTGGATACTGTGGGACGACAGAGGTGGGGTTTCAGCTATGTTTACTGCTTTAAAAAAGCCAGGATGGACTCCTGTCACTTTTGCCAGAGGCTGCATTTCCCCCACACCCTGGGGGACATATCTCCCACCCTGTCCATATTAATTAGACAGATAACTGTATCTATCAAGCAAGGAGATGCATGGTTTTCTCTTCGCAGAAACCAAATTATTTCTCTAAGTGTTATACCCCTGGCCAATAAAGCAGAATCTTCTTCTGAAAAAAGGATTTTTTGAATTTTAAAATTATGCAAATTATGCAAATATATACAAGTAGAGATTTTGATGAAAATAAAGACACATGTGTTATTGAGATCAGTTTATTGTAGCATTATCATTGTAACGTCCTTTATTGTCACAGGGGAAAATGAAGGCCAGTTCTGATGCATAAATATTTTACCTTCATCCAAATACTTTGAAAGGAAATAAGAAGCATCAAGAGCTCTTTAGAGCTACGCAACTCTTTTATTTCTCTATTTTCTGTATTGCTTTGACAACTGTATGTTAACTGGATGTTCCTTCTCCATTCTTGTATAAATCTTCCAAAGTAGGAAGAATAAATGTCCAAAAATCATTGTCATACAATTCTGCAAAAGAGACAAATAAATAGAAGACTCAGAACTTCTAACTTGCTGGCCAAGGCATAATTCAGATGAGCAAATTTGGGGTTTGAATTATTCTAAATATAGAATTTGTTCTAACTTTTCAGTAAAACATACTAAAAAGTTTGTTTTCTCATATAGCTCTATCTGGACTATTGTGAACCAAAAATAAACAGCATTTTCAAAAAATAATTGTACTGAAGAAGTCTACCTTATTTTCTCCACTGCAGATGCCTCTGGGTGTTACATGTGCCTAGACAAGCTATTCTCAAAGTTCTTAACCTTTGTCTATTTCAATGAGAGGTGATGGCTACTTCCAGAGAAAGAGACCCCAAGTGGAGGGTTTGTTCAATCTGACAAACAATAAAATACTTCAAGAAATGGAGCTGTCCTTTCACCTTCTGAATTATAAATACAAATGAACTTTTTCATTGACAACTTTTGCAATCTGTAAATTCAACACAGTTCTCAAAACAGCAGATGCAAACACTTGAGAGGTACAGTTGAAGGGAAAGGGGATTAAGTACCAAGAACTGTGTGTGATTAGGGGAAAACAGAACGGTTCTTCAGCAGGAAAATTAGAGGCTAGCTCTGACTGTAACCAACCTTCAATCCCTATCCCTTTCCCTGTAGTTGGAAAGTTACCTTCAAACGCAGCACCGAAATAACTTCCCTTTCTGGGGGCAGCAAGCATTATAATCGGTTTCTCACCAGGAGTGGCAAGGGTGAAAGAGTAACTTTAAGGGAAGGAATTCTTGAGTGCTCCACAAATTCCAAGGGCGGTTTCCCATTGACTCCTGGTGTAGATAGATAGTCAGGCCAGGAAGCAAACAATCCCTTACAAAACTTTCAGAGGCTCCCCAAGGAGAGCGCTAGTCCTTTGTGGCCCCGCTATTTAAAGTAATCTGCCTCTGAGATCACAGATAATACTAACCTATTGGGACCCACCCGATTGGAAGCCCCAAAATTCCTATCTAGAAAACAAAGTTCTGCTATCTTTGTGTCCTGGATGTCCCGTAGGACAAATCCAGTTCAGTGTTTGGATGCGCTAAACAGAGCTATTCCCTAATCCAAAAAGGGCAAAGGGTAATTTAGGAGGGAAAAGTCTGCATCCCAGAGATAAAATTGCTCTTTTTGGTTTCACAAGGAGAACCAGCCGCCAGCTTCGCCCTGGGAAGACTTTCTCACCGCCCCTCGGCGCCACCCTTAGCCTTTGTTCCAGGCCTCTGGTCACAAGAGTTCCTCCGGCCCTAGCGCCGCTGGTTTTGACAAACTTTAACTTCAGCGCAATCCCAACACAGGTGGAGACACCCGCCTGCGGGAAACCGCGGCCGGCGCGGGGAACGCACAGCCAGCGCTCTGACCCCGGGGCGGGCGCGCGGCCCCAGGGCGTTTACAGCAGCCGGCGGGCACCTCTCACAGTAGGTAAGTGGAGACTCCAGGAAGAGCCAACCCGCCAGCCACCTATAGAAAGGGAAGTCGGTTGTCCCCACTGTTTGTCAGTTTCTTTGGTGAGTGCTGACACGGACGAAATGGTCCGCACTCTCCTCGATCTCCTCCAGTGGCCCGGCCTTGTACTTACAAGTAGTCCACTCTAAGAGGTACCTTCTAGCCACTTGTTTTGAGTTCAGGAAAACAAAGCAAGCACAGGTTGTGCACGGGAGAATTATCTAGAGTCTGCGCAGAGAGGCAGAGATTCCCAGGGCATCCGTGGCACCGGGAAAAGCAGTCTCCCGCCTCTCCAGGAGCTAAGTGCAGATAAATGCATCAGGACCAGCGAGCGTAGAGAGGGAAACAAAGCGAGAGAAGGGAGAAAATTGAGAGAAGTGAACATTATTAGAGAAAGAGGGCAGGGCTGGAGAGATGGAGCGAAGTCCTGAATCTTAAGTTCAAACTCTAGAAGTGTGGCGGTCGGGTGGAAGCCCGTAGCGGGCGCGGCGGCTGTGTGTACAGTTTATTTATTCTGTTTGGATTTTCTGCCTTGAACGGCTGAGCCTTAAGTTTTCAGTTGCTGAGATCAAAACTGACGCTAAGCCCAAAGTCTGAGCCCCTGTCGCTTCCCCCAGACCCTGGGAGTTCTCCGGGTCCTCCTGCCCCACTGCAGGGGCTTCTTTCCACAGAGCGCCAGCCCCTGGCACAGAGGCTTGGGAGGAGACAAGGTCTGGGAGCCGCGACCCAACAGACTAGCAAGTCGGAGGAAAAGTAGCAAGTTATCTTAGGTGTTGATCCAGAGGGCTGAGGGAGGCAGAGTGAATGGGGCGCAGGCAAGTCCTGCAGCCCCTGCTCGCGGGCTCCATCATCATCGGCGGCAGAACTTACACTTAATAATCTTTTTAAAGGCGTTTTGAAAGTCCTTGTTGAAGTAGGCATAAATGACAGGGTTGAGCAGAGAGTTGGAGTAGCCCAGCCAGTTGATTATGGCGCCCAACAGGGTGGGCATGTGGCAGCTGCTTTCGCAGAAGGGCAGGACCAGGGCCACGATGAAGAAGGGCAGCCAGCAGAGGATGAAGGTCCCCATGATGATGCCCAGCGTCTTCACTGTCTTTCTCTCGCGAGCCAGAGCCATCTTGCGCTTCGCCTCAGCGTTGCGCTCATTCTTCCTCTCGAAGGAGGAGGGCGCACACGGGGCAGCCCCCGCCTCGCTGGGCAGCGGCAGGTGCTCTTTGGAGTTGCCCACCCGGTGCACCTCGATCACCTCCAGGGCGGCGCCATCGTCGCCTTGCCTTACTGCACCATTGGCGCACTGAGCACCCCCCGCCTTGTTCTCCACGCCCCGCCTCCAGTCCCTGGTGCCGGGCTCTCCATTCGCGCTCTTGGTGGGCTGCGGGGTCTGCGATGCTCCCAGGCGGTTGTCGGCTCTGCTCTTCTCCACCTTTTTGACAGTCTTGCGGATGCGGAAGCGCGCAGCTCGGAATATGCGCCCGTAGAGAACCAGCATGAGTAGCAGCGGGATATAGAAAGCTCCGAAAGTGGAGTAGATAGTGTAGCCGTGGTCCTTGCTGATGGTGCACGCGTCGGGGTCGGAGCGGTCTTCCGGGGTGCGCCAGCCCAGCATGGGCGGGATGGAGATGAGAAAGCCAATGAGCCAAGTGAGCGAGATGAGCGCAGCGGCGCGCCGGGGCGTCCTCTTGTTCACGTAGTCGATGGGGTCGGTGATGGCCCAGTACCTGTCCAGCGCGATGGCGCACAGGTGCAGGATGGACGAGGTGCAGCACAGCACGTCGAGGGCGATAAACAGGTCGCAGGTGACTTGGCCCAGAGTCCACTTGTTGAGCACCTGGTACAGCGCGGCCATGGGCAGCACCAGCACTGACACCATGAGGTCAGTGACCGCCAACGAGCCGATGAGATAGTTGGCCACGTTCTGCAGGGAGCGCTCCAGGGCTATGGCCGCCACCACGCACGCATTGCCCAGTACTGCGCAGAAGATCAGCGTCCCCAGCAGCAGAGAGGTGATTACCTGGTAGCTGAAGGTCACGTCGGAGATTCCAGTAGCGTTGCCACCTGTCCCAAGGGGACCCTGGGACGCTGTAGTGTTGTTTCCCTGGCCAGGGCTGAGCACATCCATGCCTGCGCGCCTGGCGAGGGGAGGGGGAGGAAAGAAAAAGCTGCAGGAGGATCCCCCTGGCCCCTCCTCTTGGGGTCTTCCACCCTCTCCGGGGAAGTTTTAGGGGGAGGGATGCAGGGACTCACGCGGGAAGTTCTCACTTCTCTGGCGAAGGTATCTCGAAGGAGCAGATTTTAGGAGCTTCCAGGGCTCGAGCAGTCCGGCGCGCTCAGAGACTCCAGCTGGAAAACTGGAGTTGGCCTGAAAGCAGCCCTGGGATCTCTGGGCGGCAGAGAGGAGGCTGGAACGTCTGTCACTGTCCATTTTACTTTGCGGCTCCCCAACTGTCTGCCGGAGCTGGAGTCTCCCCACTAGCAAACAGTCTCCAATGCCAGAAATATCCGGAATAAAGAAACCCCATCCTCCACGGTCACTCCGTGACCCTCTCTCTCTGATTCCTTCTCTCCTTCTCTCCTCCCATCTCTTCTCTTTCTCTTCAGGCTTCTCCTTCCCCCTTCTCCCTGTTAGCCTTCCGTTTCAGTCTCTCTCTTCCTCTCCACTCCCCGTTTTTTATCCCTCTGTGGGTCGCTTCTCTCTCCCACTCTAACCCTCCCCGGCTAACACTCCCCAACCCCAGTGCCTCTTTTCTCTGGGTCCCGCCCTCCTCTCCCTCTAGCTCAGCGTCTTTGCATTTAAGTCCCTTTTTGTCAACAGAGACTCAGAACTCCCTTACACACACCAGATCTGCCGGTCAGACCAGCGTTTTAACAAATAAACTCCGCCTCCTACTCATCCAAACTCGAGGGTGGGGAGAACTACCCCATTATCTATCAAATTCTTAAACAGAGTCAGCATCGCAGTGTGGGCAATATTGGACATGAGAAAAGGAGGCACACGCCGCCTGAAGGGGAAGGTGGGCAGTCCCGGGTCAGTGTGAAAATCATTGTTAATTAATCGAAACAGAGTGTCTCTTAGTTAAACAACAACAAAACAGTTCATCATCTAACAGTCCAAACCGACTCCCTTGGGGAAGATGAAACTGGCAACTTTTTTGTGTAATATTGGGAGATGGAGAAGAGAGGAATTATAAAGGACATGACAGAGGACAAGGACGGGTAAACAGCCGCGTGTCAAAGTGAAGAACGAAACTCAATTGGTGTGTATTCTACACCCAGAGAGACACTTTTCGGTCACACTATCCTTTCAAATTCACGGAACTAGCCTAGTAAATTCAGGGGAGGAAATATTTTGCTTATGTGTTGAAAATGAGGTCCTGTCTTTTGCATTTCCTATCAGAGCCTGCAAAACTCTAGGGAGAACTTAGTGGAATCCCTGGTCGCTAGCCGCTGAGATTCTCTTCATCTCCCAAACTGTGTTCAGCACCCGGGACAGCTCACAGCAATAAGGGCTTACGTCGCCACCTTCCGGCAAATGTTCTAGAGCGCCTAGAGAAACCATGGTCTTGCAGAAATTAAGCAGGTACTGAAGAAATCCCACCATTTTAAGAGGAAGACAGTTATTAAAAGACAAACAGATTAAGTTTTGTCTTTTTTCTATATTTAAAAAAAAATCTCCTTTAGTGCTCTCTTTTGCTCTTTACCTTGTATATCAAGCCTGTTATATGTTCTAGCTCCCTTTGAAGGCCTGCATCATTTATTCCCGTGTTCTAAGAATGTCATTTTAAGAGACCTAGGTAAACATCTTCACCCGTGTTATTTTTGTGCTGTCGTAACCTACACTTTAGAACTCACACATTTGCACACATTTACCTTTTACTGGAGGAAAAAACAGCATTGCGTTTTTCCAATGAGGTAGCATAAAATTGGGAAATAGACTTCCATGGATTTGTTCTCAGCTGTTTCCTTTACCAAGAAGCCAAACTTAATCTTAATCCTATCTGAGCATGAATAAAGGATGGGACTTCTAATCAACTATGACAGAATAACATATAACACAACAAGGTTCACTTAGACATCCCGACTGCAAGCCTGCAGTGAAGGAGAAGTACAGCATGCAACCCCCAAAGCAGTTCATGCACAGATTCACTACAGATTTCAATAGTCAAATCTCTGCTCAGATTCGAGCTCTGAATTTCATAGCTTTGAATGCTTCGGCACCAAACAAGGAGCAATCACCAAAGCATCAAAGAAAAGCCAGTCAGGCCACTGCATACAGTGCAGAGCAGAATGTTTGGAGACAGATCGTTTTATAATTCAGTGCTGGGCACAGTTCCCACTCAATCATTTCAGCATGCCACAACAATGGACCTGCCATTATGGTGATTCACAGCACTGAAGAAAAAGAGATGGGTATGCATGGCAATACTGGCTACAGACTCTAAAGATGTCTTTTTAAGATTTGTGAAGATTTTCATTTGTCCTTTTAAAAGACAGAACTGAATACTTTTATTAAGATACAGTTATAGGTCCAAAAAGAATAATGGAAAAATATTTAAAATCCATATTCCCTGAAATAAAACTTTGAAAGTATAGCTGAGAATACTACAAATAAACAAAAACTAAAAGTAAACAAATTTAAATTTTAAGAAGTAACTATGTGCACATCCAGAGCATGTTTGATTACGAATCATACCAAATTTAGCATTTAGATATTTAAGTCACAAATAAATAATTAAATATGTCAGTCAGTACCCATACTTGCATCCATTATATCCCAAATGGTTCAATAACTGAAAATGTATTTATTTTCAAGAAATCTAAAATGCTGTAAATCTGGAGTTGATATTTGTGAAGTCTGGTATTTGCTGTTCTGCTTTAATAAGCTACAATGGAGCATTTTAACCTAAGTTTTAAAAGCCCAAGTAGTTCATGTTTTTCTCAGAAATAATGCACAGAGTATATGAAACACTTAATTTATTAAAGTTTAGAACGAGTTTTTCAGGAAATCTTACAAATACTAAGAAGAAAATAGAAATAAAAAAGGATATGCAGCACTGACTATGGTTTCAGAATCAGCAAGTGACTAATACATAATTACATATAACTCCCTTTAAAACTAGTAATACTGTGAGATATAATAAAAGCAGAAAGACATTGCATTTCTTCATGTTCACACTTTGCCAATTCTTCAATTTTTAATTCTTAAAGGTACCGAATCCCAGATGTGGATGAAGAAAACAGTGCAAACCAAAGCTCTGATATAAGGAGTTAAGCTCTTATTCATCAAGGTCCCTAAAGTTACCCTACAGAAAAGCTAACCTGATAGCGGATATTATTGATGATATCACTTGGGGAAAAAAAATTCCATCATTCTTCTTGAATGTTTTTGTCTGAATTTATTAGATGCAAGCATGAAGTTCTCGGGTTATGAATTTGGGGCATGATACATCATCCATCATGAGAAATTTCTCTAAAATAGTTTATGAGATAAATATTTTTTAACATTTTCACAGGAAATTTGATACAGGCTCTGCATTTCAATGTAGTTCTTTGCCCAGGAACACAAGATAAAAAGATGGGAAGCTGAAGCTTTGCTGTGCACTTTGAATGCTCTATCATTACTGAAAGCTAATGGTTGGTGATTCTCAGTGATCAATAGGTTTATCCATTATCCCCCACTTATGGCTGATTTCTCTATTAATGAGAAAATTAACTACATAGTAAAGAATTGAACTTTTACCCATGAGATTATAAAAGTTGTTTCTAAAAGCTATTTTTAAACCTTTTTCCTTTTACTTTTTTCCAATTACTTTTTTCCAAGTCATCGAAACAAGGATAGATTATTTTGTTAAGCTAAAAATACTAGTCTAAATTTAATTCTTCCCAATCCTCAAATACTAAAGTCCTAGGGCAATTGTGGTTTTTTCAGAACTGTGAATTTTGATTGGACTTCACTAGGAAAAGAAATTTAAAGAGAAATTTTTGCTTAGATATTTGGGAAATGTGGTCTTCTGATTATCAGGGAGAATTTACAAGAAATGCAACCAGTATTGAAGAGAAGAGCTTTTTAAAGAAGCTCTTCTTTAAAACTGAGCACCCAATTTTTTTGTGTCTAATCCTCTCACCATCCTCCTCCCTCTGATGAGGTCATTTCTGCACTGCTTCTTCTCCCTGTCGGGAACTTCTTATAGACCCACAATTGTACTGGCTTTTCATTGGCAAAACATAAACAGTGGAAATCTTAGTCTTTGCTTTTGAGAACTGTAAGACTGACTTGGTTTATTTAGCACACAGCCTAAAAACACAGCATGCAGAGAGTGAAAAAATGAGTAACAAATATTCACTATGTATGTGACTTGGGCAAATTAATCCTTCCTCAATAATAAAATGGGCATAATAATAGGCTTGTGAAGACTAAATGATTTAATACACTTAGCTGTCCCATTACAAACACACGATAAAGGTTCAACATTGACAATAGTAACAGTGAAGCAAAGTAATAATATTAATTCTCTCTCTACTGGTAATTGCTCAGAAGTGTGAAAAAAAGAAAATTGGCTCTTTGCAAAAGAGCAAGCTTTAAAAAAAAATAAATAAGATTCTTTCAGGTGAGAATTTATTATGAAAGTAATTTGCATGTGGTTATTACATTCTCCCTCATCTTCAAAGTTTCTGTTAAGCTTTCAGTTCTATCAGAAACTCTGGGTAATCGGCAAATGAAAAGATGCGATCTCTGTATTCTGAAACTTCTTGACTCGTATCAGAAGTTATTGTGAGAGAGAAAAAGAATATGCCCACAGAGGTTCACTATTTGGTATTGGACAGGAGTTGGCCTTTCCCTGGGAACTCTTCCATTTGTTCAAAAGCATAAAATGCATAATTGGGATTCACAGGTCCAAATAAAAAACTTAATAATACAGAAAAAACCAAAAGGTAGTATTTTTGTTGTGAGATTTATAGTGACAGTTGTTAATAAATGTGCTTTTCAGAAATCAATTCATCAAAAAGATACTGGTGCTCGTATCTATTGTAGCACTATTCACACTTGCAAAAGTATAGAATCAACCCAAACATCCATCAACAAATGAATGGGTAAAGAAAATGTGGTCTATATACAAAACTGAATACTATTCGGACATTTAACAATGAGTAAAATCGTGTCTTTTGCAGCAACATGGATGGAGGTAGAAGTCAATATCTTAAGTGAAACAAGCCAGACACAAAAAGGCAATTGTCACATGTTCTCACTCCTAAGTAGGGGCTAATAAATCCATGTGTACACATGAATGCAGAGAATGGAACAATGGAGACTCAGAAGGGTGAGGTGGTCAGATGGAGGTAATAATGAGAAACTAGTCAATAAGTACCATGTACATTATTCAGGTGATGGATGCCCTAAAAGCTCAGACTTAACCACTGTGCAATTTATGCCTGTAATAAAATTGCACATGTACCCCATAAATTTGTACAAAAAAATTAAATTAAAAAAATACATGTAATTATTTTTAGAGCTCGGTTTCTCT